ATGTCCCAAATGCATAGTTAAGTGATTGAGTGAATATACATGAGCCAAATGCTTAAACACATCGTTATCTGGAGTCCGACTTTCACTCGAGTGTAATGTGAATTGAGATAAAACTAAAAAATGTATACAGCAATATTCAATGAATAATTAATTAATTAGCATTTGCAGATAACCCAGTAAACAACTAATTTAATTACTCAATAAACTTACTTAGTACTTAATATTTTCTTAAAGCAAATCTTTACTTATTTTCATAGAAACTTCTGTTTTCATAAATTTATAGCAGTAGTATAGATATAATTAAGGATTTCCTGATTGCAGTATTATTCCTAAACATAATGATTGACTGTTTTGTTAGCAACACAAAAGATTGTGTTAACAAATAACACAATAAGATTTCCAACTATTAAAACCCAAATAAAAATATACTTTACTATAATGAAAGAAATTCTCACTTGAATTGGGAGTGTTATCGTAGGGATAGGAGGCGACCAGAGCTCCTCCATGAAGATTAGCCGACAATACAAAGGGCACGGAATCAATCCAATCCCGTACGACCTGAGTCTCAGGCTGTTGGGCCTTATTATTGGACTTGAAATAGTCGGGGAAGTTTCGATTCAAATCAAACCCTCGTATATTATATCTGAATTGATAAAATAATACATTAAATAACATTAATTTTGTTGTATTATTAATTACCGTAGAATTTTAAAAAAGTTATTTATTTTACATTAAAAATACAGTAGTACTGTACTGTACTAGTATTATTAGTAACATACTTATTTATAGAAACATCTAATTTTCAGTAAATTTTTAATTTTAAGAATTGCTTGCATTTAATTATTATTTTATAAATTAAATTTAGTTCTACTTTGATATTTAAATTTATTTGTTAAATAAGTTAAAAGCACCAGGATGACTTATTTGAATTAATGATATTGACTGGGTATTTGATTCACGATTCTAAAAACTTTATTATTTTTAAATTTTTAAATTATTTTATCGTATTATTCATAAAAATTTGAATAACAATCTGTAAATCTATAAATTTATAGATCTATACAAACAACATCCAGAACATTGTAAACTTATTTGAACGCCATTTCAATTGGACAGTTAGCTCAGGATTTAAATGGCAGAGGAAAAGGTAATCGACGACTGGAAGATGGACAACCTGACGGACAAGGGTTTGTTCAGACAGTTGGCACTCATTATCAATAAATACATGGATGAGGTGAGACTTAGAGTGGAACAACTCAAAGGATTTGGATTCAATTTCAGTGATATCTGCATTGATATCAACAGCGCCGGCGATCAGAAGATTGTGTTGCAAGGGTTGGGAGAAATGACAGCTCGAGTCGCATCCCTTAGCGCCACACAAAAAGTCATTCAAATGGCAGGTCTTGTCATTGATGTGGAGCGGAATGCGGAGAACAATACATGGATGGCGTATATCAAAGACATTGAGGGTCAGTGCCAACCATTTCAGACATACGCCATCGACGGTGTCAATAGACAAAAAGCCGTGTGCGTAAAGACTGGTGAGAACCGGGAGCTCTTGCTTGTGATCAGCGAACACATGGCAAACAATATCCGCGATTACATCGGCGGTAAGCACTCACTGGTGAACTCAAGCGATGTACTGCCCGTCCACATGGGAAATGCCGATCGTATCCGTCAAATGCAAACCATTGCCACAAGAATGCCGGATAAGGAGGGGAATCGTATGAAAATAGTCACAGATCTTATCAACCGATGGGAGGCATTGCGGCAACAGATTAATGACATCCAGAGTCTGATTGAAGCCTGCATTAAATATGCGGGATGTGTGTCCAACACACAACTATCCCCGAATCAAATGGCGCCCACTGGACAGCCTACGGCCAACAATCAGCTCCCGTTACCCTCAAAAATAGTTCGTTAAGTAAAACAACCAAATTCTCTCTAAAGAATCAATAAATTCTGATATTTCCCACAGAATTGTATAAAATATTCCGTATCTTAGCATTCAATTTATATTTCAATTAATGTAAATACTAATTGCAATCAACAGGAAACACTACATACCTTCCCTGTCCACCAGTACACTGGCCCTCAACAGAGCTTTCAAAGCCGTCGGGATTCATGGACGGCATGATATGTATTCTTGTATTGTCCAGAAGTGATCGCACGTACGGATCAGTTCTGTAGTTGTTTAATAAGTATGGTATCAATTGTAACATCAATTCCCTTCCGACTGCCTAACAGTTCAATAATCATTGTATTAATAAATAAATTGTGAACAAATGTTAAGGTGAGTAGCAATTCATACTTCATTTCCGTGCATATTTGCCACATATTTGACATTAGGCTTCAGAAGAGGTTCTTCGTGCGGATCCTTTGTTAATAATAAGACCCA